TCATTTATTTGATATAAAATATATCCAGTATGATGCCCAGAACAGCAATATTTGACAACGATATGACCTACTATAATTGCTTATAAGGCGGGGTCGCATTATACAAAAAAAAATTCAGAGGTCGCATTATACATGACGTCGGCTTATACACAAGTATATGCGGTAAATGCCGACGGCAGGCTTTTATTTCCGTTTACAAAGTGGGATAATTTAACGTTCGTAATGACCAAGCGAAAACAATGAATTGACAAAGCGAAATCTCCATGACCGCCTCCCAAAAAGCTGAGTCCATAGAAGATATATATATATATATATATATATATATATATATATATATATATATATATATATATGGATCATCAGACTTTACATCCAATTGGAAGTAAAGCCCTGATGATCTGCAGTCCTTTTTAAAAGGGCTGTGGTGAAATAATTTATTACATGGAACCTTAAAGTGGTCTGTTTTTTATTTAAATTATTAGCTCTGGATTTACATTGAGCCCTCTGGATTTTATCCTCCTTGGATTTACCCATACGATTACCTAGTTTTTTCATAAACTATATATATATATATATATATATATATATATATATATATATATATATATATATATATACTAATGGTATCTTGACAAAGAGAAATCTCCATGACCGATTCCAAAAGCTGAGTTCCATGGAAGAAATAGTTATCTCTCTCTCTCTCTCTCTCTCTATATATATATATATATATATATATATATATATATATATATATTCATGGTATCTTAATTACGATTGCATGAAATATTTTGCTCTGTTTAATAAAAATAAACATTGAGCGCTCTTTGTGTGTCACTTTTAACATTTAATATTTAATACTTCAAATTCTATATTGTGTTAATAGGACTCACTTGGATTATACCAGCGGATTAATTACTACCCGGATATATATATATATATATATATATATATATATATATATATATATATATATATATATATATATATATATATATATATATATATATATATATATATATACGTTTGTTTGTGTGTAACAATTGAGGACAATGTGCAAAATAACGATGACCCACCCGGTGCCGTGCTAACATGGTCTGGTTGACGTGTATTGATACCGCTATCGAAGTGGGTTCGTATATAGAATATGCCACATATATCTTCAAGAATGCTTTGTTCATTTTTAGAAATTCATTTTTAACTTTAAACATTATAATTAAAAAAAAAGAGTCAGGAGGCAAAACAATCTGGTGATAGAATCTCTTAGTAAGACGAGAAATAAGCAAACTCTGAAATTACAGATTGAATCTAAGGATTGTCAAGGATCACTCAGACCTTCCAAAGTTTACACAAAAAAATATTGTGCTTTGGGAACTTCTTCGGTAAACGTAATTTCGATTGAAATATATAACATTTAGGAGGATTTTATACGGATATCTTTCCTTAGGTGTTTATAAATTGTACAATGTTCAATTATTAACGTTAACAACGAATTATTTTAAATTACAAAATTGTACTTGGATTAAACGAAAATTACTTACAATATAATACATATTACTTACAATACATCCCTTCTTGCTGTCAATTTTTACGGTACGGGTACATCAGTAATATGATATTGTGCGTGTGGTGGTATCGCCGTAGTATTATCCATGTTGTTCTTAAAACGCAATTGGCAAACATGTACCTTCATGCAAGCAAAAAAGTTTCCCATGACATCGCTTTTATTTTAACTACCTTCACACTTTGGCAATGTTTTAAAAAGTGGTGATTAGAATTGTAATACAAGCCTAAATATATGAAAGTGGATTTATAAATCTTCTTTTGTTCTTGAGAATTTATAACAAAAATAATAACCACAAATTTTTTATTAGGTCGTTTATTTCCACAATTTATTATATTGTCTATTGAAATGGTTGGCAAAATATCGACTAATTGCCAAGACATTCAAACTTTATAAAATAGTCAATAATAAGGATTTCCTTATAGTTGTTTCATATATTTTAATAATTTACTAAATGTTTATAAATTTAAGGATAAAAATTTTTTTTCACATTTATTTCTAGGTAAATTATAAATATTGTATTGCATTAGTGATTAATCTTAATACAATTGTATTAGTTTTTAGAATGCTGAAAATATAAAATTATTCCTGTAAATAAGCAATCTAATAAATAAAAAGTTTTTAATATTTTTGTTGTAAATTCTCAAGAACAAAAAAGCGTATAAATTCACTTTCATTATATGTTTAGGTTTTCTTACAATTCTAATCTTCGCTTTTTTTTAAAAACAGATAAACATGGCCGAGGAATACTTAAAATGATAGCGGTGTCATGGGAAAAACCATCCTTTTGACACTCTGTTATTTGGGGGGGTGAGGGCACGAAGATCCATGTTTGTCACGCAATAAAACACTAAGTGACATTTTTTTTTAAAGAATTAAGTTGCTAAAGAAAAACGGAAATTATTTATGACGCAACCTTATATCACGTGTAACAGCAAAATTGCCCAAATCGTGTAACAGCAAAATTGTTCAGTTGTTAGATTAAACTTTGAACCGTTGTATCTTAGAAATGATTAAATATATATTACTGGAATTCTCTGGATTTTTTTTTAACACTATTGGACTCAAATTTGAGCAATAAGAATGTATTTAACTCTAAGTTGAACTGATGATCCCTCTTGATAATGTGACATCTTGATCCAGTTTTCCTCTCTACTCTTCCCTCTTTTTTAAACATATTCCCCCTTCTCTTCATGGTTTTTGAATGTACTTTGAAGATGGTAGCCAGAGTATGAATGTTGGTATCATTACTGAAGACCTGAATGATTTTTCCTCTCAACATTGCTCAGTTGGGAAGACATAGTGGGACTGAAAGAAAATGATTTTAACCTGTTCTTTTTCTAGCTGAATAACTCAAAGGGTTTTTCAGTGATTCCTACGACAAATGGTGTTAAGATGGCTAAACGTCTTATCTGAAAACTTGGAAAAAAAGAAAATTAATTAGTTTAGTTTTTTTTTTTTTTAGATATTAAGTATTTTGTGGGATGGCCCATGCTGTTACACGATTTTGACAATTTTACTGTTCATCATCATCATCTTGCGGCCTCAGCCGAGATTGAACTCACTACACCTCTCCAGTATTCCCTATCTGTCATAGCACCTAAAAGATCTTCCTTAGGGATCAATGTGTCACGTTTTATCCTATCTGGAAAGGTTAACTTTCGTGATCGATTGTCAGATGATGGGTGCCTCCAGAGTACAAATGATGACACAAGTTCATCTGTGGCACGTGCACAATGCCCGGCGAACTGGACACATCTCTTACAAACTAAGGTTGATACTCTTGGCAAGTCACCATATATCATTTCTAGAGTTGGGTGGTTTCGCCATGAGAGATTAAACACTCTTCTTAAAAGACGTGTATAACATCCATCTAAACGACGCTGTTGTTTTGCTGAGAGAGTCTAAGTTTCAGAGCCATAGAGTAAGATTGGCTCAATAAGTACGCGGAAAAGTTGGATTTTTAATTGACGAGCAAGATTGGATTTCCAGATCTTATCTATTTTGTTACAAGCAGTCCATGCTATACCTTTTCTAATGTTGAAGTCTTTCTCAGAGTTCTTGATGTGTGATCCTAGATACTTGTAGTCTTCGACACATTTGACGATGTTATCTGAGAGTGTTTTGATCTCATGATTGTTGCGAATGTTAATTGGCATACACTCAGTTTTGGTTTCATTTAGGTGAAGACCTGCACAGTTAGCTGCTGATTCAAGAGAAGAAAGGAGTGCTTGGGCACTAATGAGGTTGTCAGACAACAGTGCAATGTCATTGGCAAAATCAGCATCGGTGATGTAAAGTGCAGGATGACGTGAGCTTCTTCTAGGCTGATACATCAGACCATTTTCTTTGATTGTATCCACTGATATACGCATGATGTAGTCTATTACAATGATGAAAAGGAAAGGTGCAAGTGTATCACCTTGGAGAATGCCAGCCAGAATATAGAAAGGTTCTGTTTCTCCATCTGGGGTCAGGACAGTGGCCTGTGTGTTGGTGTACAATACTTTGATTGCTTCAATGATTTCTACTGGTATGCCGTAGAGTTTAAGAATTTCAAACATAGTCTCGAGGTTGACTGAGTCGAAAGCTTTGTTGAAGTTTTACAAAGATAAGAGCTGCAGTTTTTTTTGCAGAATGTGATTTCCTCAATTATTCTACGCAATGTGAGATTTGTCCAAGAGTGGAACGACCTGGGCGGAAACCATTTTAGTTTTTGCGTAGAATGGGGTTCAACTTCAGCGCGAATTCGATTTAGAAGAAGCTTGTTATAGATTTTCGCAGCTATAGGAAGCAACGAAATACCGCGATAATTGGTTGGTAATGTCAAATCGCCCTTTTTGGGGATAGGGATGATTTGCGATCGTAGCCAGATGGTTGGTGAAACATGGCTGGCCTTTGCATAATTACACAGATCAAGAAGTAATTGGTGAAAAATAGGGTCCTTCCACAAGATGACTGGAATCTTGTCAGGACCAAGAGCTTTGTTCATTGTCTTCATTAGAACACATTTCAACTCTGCAATGGTGTACTCTCCTGTTGATATGTTCAAAGCACTACTAATTTGGACTTTTGGGAGGGACACGTGATCAGAAAGACTTGCGGGATTACCAAGGAGGTCTTTGAAATGAGAAAGCCAATTACCAAGCCGTTGCTCACGGCTGCCACCTTTAATTGTTGGTGGAGGTTTTGATCCCTTTCCCACGAGTTCATTTATAGTTTTCCAAGCTGCAGAGTGTTGTTGGTTGATATGAAGATGGGAAATATCAGTTATTTCCCCATTTATATAAGCTTCTTCAGCTTCAAGATAAACATGATCGAGGGATTATTTAGTAGCTGTTAACTTCTTCTTATTGCTCTGAGAAGGGTGGCAGTGGTACATCGATGAGGTTTTCTTGAGATTTTCTCGAGCTTCTGAGATTTTGATGCCTGAACTAACGGGACTTCTTTGTGATTTTGGTTTTTGGGGGAGTGTAGATAGAGCCACCTCCTCATTGGCTTTAATCAAGTTTCCATAGATCAGGTCTGTGTTCCTTGAATCTAACTGAGAGTTCTCTGGGTCGTAGTGAAAGAGTTCTTGGAATCTGTTAAACACATTCACTGCATACTGAGATAATAGATTCTTGTCACGGTAGACCGCTTTCCAGTCAATAGTTTTCATGGGATCCGCAGTTGGTCTCTTCGAAACTCTAAAACTCAGTTTAACTGTGGCAGAGACGATTCGATGGTCAGATCCCACGGAAGAGAAAGATGAGTATGCTCGGCAGTCCTTAATGCTATTCTGCCACTTCTTACGAACCAGTATGAAGTCTAGTTGGGCTCTGCTGCCATTTGGATACTCAAAGGTCCATAGTTGATTGTTGCACTTCATAAATTTAGTGTTAGCTGGATACAGATTGAATTTCTCCATTAAGTCAACCAGATACTCGCCATTACGGTTGGTTTCTGTATGGTTCTGTATTTTACTGTTACACCCGGTAGATGGCCAGTCTAACAACTCACAAAATAAAAAGAAGAAATTAGCAGTGCATTTTATCGGATAATTACCGATTCCTCATTCGTGTCAGAGGCTAATGTTTGAGTTCAGGTAGAATTCACGAATTTCTCGTCCGGATTCAACCTCTTCTCTTTCAAACACCGTGGCATGCCAGTGAAAAGGCATTCTTGTCCAAATATCTGATGTAGAGACATGACGCGGGGATGTAAGTTCACGTTTTTCGCATTGACATCCAAATGTTAAGTAAATATAAGCTAAGCAGACTCAAGCGAGATTCGAAACTAAGATTGCAAATAAGAGGTGAGGTTGTCTTTTAATTTCCAAGATCTCTCAGGTAGGAATACAAAAGTAAAATCAATATGCATTAATTTTTCACGACATGTTTTTTTGTTTTATAATTTCACCACATGCAAGGGAATAAAGACACTAAGGTGCAATAGGTTACTGAATGTGAAATAATGTGAGAAAAAGAAAAAACATTATCAAGGCAAGAGATCAATAAAAGAACATGAATTAAGAAGGCAGACGATAACGATTGGCATTGCATTTAAATGTCTGAAAATCAAAATTGACTGGGAAGTAAGAAGCCGGAAAAGAGTTAGCAAAGAACTTACGGTTACAGCTAGCCATTTCAATTGTAAAATGATGAGACCTAGCTGACATTCTAGTGCTGCGTTCAAATTCGTAAAGTGCACGTGTCGAAAAAGAAAGCCCATCAGAACAATTACGATGAAAGTGTTTGTAGAGCAGGCAGAGGGAAGTGAGCCGGCATCTATTTTAATGAATGTAAATGGGGTTCGAATAAAGTCCAAGGGTGTCTTAATTTTCAAGATTTTAATAAGCTTACCTCCATACACAACACGCGCAAACAAGCGCGCACGCACCGTTTATTCAACAGCCAAAATTAATCGGCTTTTATCTTGTCATTTATTTACCGATTATATATACTGGTTCACCGAACGATTTAGACTATCCGCGCATATGATTTGATTATAATGGTGAAGGCTTTTACCTCATTACACACACACACAGAGACGTGTATATATATATATATATATATATATATATATATATATATATATATATATAGGCAGAACCGTTGTATCTTAGAAATGATTAAATATATCTTACTGGAATTCTCTAAGGTTTTTATAACACTATTGGACTCTATTTTGAGCAATAAGAATGTACTTAGCTCTAACTTGAACTGATGATCCCTCTTGCTAATGTGACATCTTGATCCAGTTTGATCCATATATATATATATGTGTGTGTGTGTGTGTATCTATTTAGGTAGCATGTTTTTCACTTGTTTGGTTAAATAATTTAGGCGTATTATATCTATTAATTTTAGTTTTAATTCTTTCAAATCCACGAACTAATTTATTTGTAGAAAAGTGATTAAGAAAAATTCCTAAATTTTCTTTCAAATAATTTTATTTTCCCAAGTACTTTCAATCTCATCTGAGACCATCTTCAGGGATTGCATATCTATGGATGTGTTATGTGTTAACACCGTAAATTCAAAATATTTTTATCTCTACACAAGGGAGGTAACTTATTTTTAAAAGATTTTAATTTTTTAAATTATAATATTTTAATTTGGAATTTTTTTTATATAACACTTTGGCGCTACAAACATTTAAGAACTTTGTTGCTATAATCATAGTTGACTTTATTTTTGGTCGTGATTCTCTTATAAAAAGGCTTCCGGAGTTTTAATTTTTTGCTTATTCTTATCTTGATGAAGCACTGATGTATTTTCGTCCAAATATATGTCTAAACTGTGATTGTGAACACGAGTTTTCCTTTAAATTTCTGAGATTGAACAATGATAATTCAAGTGAAACCTAAGCAACGATGAGCTATGAGCTATGATAGTTTCAAGTGCAACGACGTCGTCGTTGCAAAACCAAGATACGTATTAACATTTTTATCAGAGATGCAATCTTCCAAAGGGCATTTAAATTGATATATGATGTTGGTCTTTTATAAGTAGATAGTTGACGGAGAAGAATTGTTATGGATGACTAAGTTTTATTAAATTTAGTATAGAATTAATTTTTTTTTTTTTTTACTTGAATCAGTAGGGTATATATTGGTGTTTGTGAGTCTTTTTAGAATTTTTTCTTAATCAATTTTCTACGACCACCAAGAAATTAATTCATGGACTTAAGGATTAAAACTAAAATAAATAGACACAATACGACTAAATTATTTAACCAAACATGCTTGAATATATATATATATATATATATATATATATATATATATATATATATATATTATTATTATTATTATTATTACTTTTAAATCTTTCATTTCGAAATGTTTTTCAAATTATATTTTTTAAGATTCAAAATTTAAAAATTGAAACCTTAGATTTTAATTAAAACTTTCTACTCCTCAATTGTTATTCATAATATTAATAATGTTAATAATAGTTAAATATTTTGTTTATTTATCTTATATTCACATTATATTTATTTCCTACCTTTTTTTATTTTGTTGGAAAACTTTAAATGCTTAAATTAATGTCAAACGTTAACTACCAAATATATAAATCTGTGTTTTTTTTTAATTAATCGCAATATGCTCATATATGTTAATTTATAATTCCTTTTCTCTTATTCTTTCTATTCCCCATTCTTCCCACACACCCCTGCTTCCACTTCCGCTTGCTTCTATCTTCATTTCTCTTTATTTTTCTCTTTATCTCGTTTCCTGTGAGATGACTTATTAAATAAGTCAATATCTGGTCCTTACCCACCTCCCTCACTCTTAAGTATTTTAATAAAAATAGATTAAAAAATTATTCCTATCTCTCCCTTCCCTCTCTAATTTCGAGCATATCTGTCATACTTCTCCTCCCCTCTCTCTATATCATGTTACATCAACGTAAAATTAACCCTCAAAAGTGTATAAAAATTATATGTAAATTTAAAACATTTTTTCACCCTTGGAAGTGTGGTCTGATATACCCGGTACAAACCACATACCTGGGGAAATAGATTATAAGCAATGGACACTTAAGGTTGTCTGTTTTCTATTTAAATTAAATTTATATATATATATATATATATATATATATATATATATATATATATATATATATATATATATATACTGTCGACACGGAAAAAACGCATGGATGAACAAAAACAAATCTTTTACTTTTAACCCCATTCTGAAAGATTGTATGAAGATTTATCTTGGATCGATTTTCAGAAAAGGCTAAATAAATGCCTTACTTTCGAGCCATTCTGCTAAGGAGAAGAGATTTACCTTTAATTTGATACAGGAAAGCTGGGAAAAATACATTAACAACTTTCGACTCGAACTGAATGTAAAGAAAATGAATGTTTTTTTTTAAAGTCACTCATTTGTTTTTCTTTTACAGTCACGAGAAACACCATTTTAGAAGGAAAAGTACTAAGATTCATTATTTAAAGATACACCCAAATACACTTACACGCATTTCAGGCTTCCGCTTCCGGATCTGATTAAGGCTTAAATGGCGAAATGCATTATGGGATATATTCCTCAACAAATCTACTCTCATGAACCTTTTCCATTTGTCAAAATTTAAAAGCTTTGTCGGGATTATATATATATATATATATATATATATATATATATATATTTAAATTCACACATCAATTCTGTGGACAAGACAAACTGGTATAACTGGATGACAACTGGAAAAAATCTTTTTTGCCGACGCATTTCGTCTTCCGACTTTTTCAAGGCAAAAATGAAATCGCAATGTTTTTGTTGTTGTTACATTACGAAAACCAAATTTAAAAAAGAGAGACACGGTTCTGTGTAAGCCTCTTCCTGGTTAATGTAAATTTTTTTTTATAGTAAGAGTTTTTTGGGTTTTTTTTCTCTTTCCATGTCGACAATATAGTTAAATTCTCAGATCAATATATATGGTTGAATAAATTACAAATAGTAGGACTACTTATTTTTATCATAATCCTTTCATATTCACGAATATATTTCCGTATATTACAACTGAATATATATGGAAAAATATTCGTGATTATGAAAGGATTATGTTAAAATAAGCAGACATAATGTTTGTAATTTATTCAACCAGACATGCCTAAAAGAGAATTTGCAGCCTAATTACACACACACACCAAACAACACACACACACACACACATATATATATATATATATATATATATATATATATATATATATATATATATATATATATATATATATATTTTTTTCAATTAATACAGATAAATGATGCCAAATGATTGTGCTAATCATGCTGTTTTTTGCTAATCCATGCGTAGTAAATAGTGTTTTCACCAAAGGAGTTACATCTTAGAATCTTCAGCGCCATAATTGAAATAAAATTATCGCGAAGAGAAATCCCCGTTATAAGTCCTTTTCTCTCCAAATGTGATACGCAAAACGAGAAACGCCTTTTACGTTTTCACAAACTGCCGCTAATACTACTAATTTTTTCGTTTCTTGTTTGTTATTGTGTTTTTGTTTTTTTTGCTGAACTAAGTTAAAAACAGATTTTATCCTCTTAGAGAAAAGAAAAGTCGAGCAATTTGTCTAACACTAGTTAGCTAAATTAATTATAGATAATTGAACAAAACGGAGCCTCCCCTCCCCCCCACACACACACCTCTACAA